CTAGGAAGAGGAAGCCAGGTGTGCTTGTGATGTTCATTACCGTGCCCCCAGCTACCGCTTCAGTTTCAGGGCTGGGCTGTGGGACGCATTTTGCGCCATGCGGGGGTCTCGGCAGAGTGGGCTGCAATTTGGTGGGCTATAGCTCTGGGGTGGTGGTGGGGCCTGGGTCCCACTTGGGGGAAGCCAAGTGTTGCTTTGTGGCCTCTAGGTTGCAGTGCTGTTTCTCTGTAAATGGCCAGGGCATGTCACAGCAGCTCCTACCTTGAGCGTCTGTCCCCTGGTGGTCAGTGCGCGTCATAGACACCGGTGGGACAGGTGGAGGGACATTTAGCATATTAGCCTTTTATATATGTAGATTATATATAGATAGATAGATAGATAAAAATTGCTACTAGTGTCTCCTCCTCCCACCCCTGTTGCCACCAATTAGGCCAAAAAGAATGGATTTGATTTTTGCAATTAAAAGGGCTAAGAAATAGGAAATGCAAGGAATGGATAGAGTGAGCCTTCAGCTTGTGCACATGTGCTACTGACAGGTCACTTCTGTCAACTCTTCCAATTCTGTGGGAAGTTCTACATATGCAACAAACTGGTCCTAACTTAAGCACTTGCAGCTTTCACATCCATCCTTCCCACGGCAGAAACACACCACTAACCATGCTCCCTGAGCACGAACCACGGTATCCGCTCGGGGGCAAACGTCACAAGATCTATCTTCACAGACACAATGCAGGGCAAGTCCCCGCGAGGTTCCAGGGGGCCCCCCGCTCGCAGCAGGGGAACCCTCATCGGCCGGCAGAGCCTTGCCGTCATGGTTCCGAGGTGCCGGCGCGGGACAGAGGCTCCCCGCGCCCGACATTCCCCGGCGGCCCACCCGGACCTCCCGGCCCCCGCCGCCCGTCGGGTCACCTGTAATTGTAGGCGCTGAATTGCTTGCTCTCTCTCAGCATCGCTCGGTACAGATCTAACACTCGTGCGCGGCTGGAGGCTGCCATTTTGGAAAGAAAAAAATAAGTGGGTCCTCTTCGCAGAGGTCCCGAGTTTAACCCAATCGCCAAATGTCAGCCTATGCAAAACCACGCACGACTTCAAATGCAGTGTGGTTTGGTTACGCCGGCGGGCCGGGGCCTTCAGCCTGGGCGAGCAGCGCCGCCCCCCTCCGGCCGCAGCGGAACCGAGCCCCGGGGTCGTTCGGAACTCCCGGAGGCGGGCGCAGGCGGGCTTCGGGCAAGCTAAGGGGGAGGCGCCCTCCGGGAAGGCGTTCCCTGCTCGCCCGCCCCCACCTGGAAAGGTTCTGGTTTGGGGGCGACCCTGGGACCGCTTAAGGGCCGGGGGGAGCAAAAGGGCCCGCCTAGG